AGCGGGTCGCAGTGTTTGGGAACAGCTCGAACTTTCGAAAATGAGAGTTATGTGTAATATTAGGGTTTTTTCAGACATTAAAGAGGCAGAATCGGAGATTGGATTGACGAGTATTTGGCTTCAGTTGATGAGGACGGGTTCAATCGTTCTCCTACCTCATATATTAACTCACCTGCACTCACTCACTCACTCACTCACTCACTCACTCACTCACTCACTCACTCACTCACTCACTCACTCACTCACTCACTCACTCACTCACTCACTCACATGCAATGCGGTATACAATTAAAACTTTCTCCATCGAAGTTGTTCTTTAAACAAAAACAAAGTAAGAAAGAGAAAACATGAACCTAATCCGCAACGCTGCCTTTCTTCAGCGCCAGCTTTCAGAATTTCCAATATTCCAGGATTCCAGAATGTTGCCATTCCTGTGTGCGGGCCGTCGGCACCTACAGTGTACTGGATCACACGAAGCTTGACCCAGCAACACCCCGACTTGAAGAAGGAAGGGGCGTCTGAGTTGGGGGGGCGTGGAGAGGTTGGGGGAGGGAGGGATGGGAAGGCGATGGGTAAGAGATTGTAAAGGGGAAGGGAGGGGGGGAGGGTAGGGTGGTACAGGGTGATGGGTAAAGGGGTATAAGATTGACAACTAATATTTGCGCTAATCACCCTTTCCTATCTGATGATTCTTCTCTTACCCAATATCTCTCTTATCTAGTATCTCTCTTATCCAATATCTCTCTCTTATCCAATATCTCTCTTATCCAATATCTCTCTTATCCAATATCTCTCTTATCCAATATATTTCTTATCCAATATCTCTCTTATCCAATATCTCTCTTATCCAATATATCTCTTATCCAATATATCTCTTATCTAATATTTCTCTTACCCAATATCTCTCTTATCCAATATCTCTCTTACCCAATATCTCTCTTACCCAATATCTCTCTTATCTAGTATCTCTCTTATCCAATATCTCTCTTACCCAATATCTCTCTTACCCAATATCTCTCTTATCCAATATCTCTCTTACCCAATATCTCTCTTATCCAATATCTCTCTTATCCAATATCTCTCTTACCCAATATCTCTCTTACCCAATATCTCTCTTACCCAATATCTCTCTTATCCAATATATCTCTTACCCAATACCTGTATTACCCAATACCTGTATTACCCAATACCTGTATTACCCAATACCTGTCTTACCCAATACCTGTATTACCCAATACCTGTATTACCCAATACCTGTATTACCCAATACCTGTATTACCCAATACCTGTATTACCCAATACCTGTATTACCCAATACCTGTATTACCCAATACCTGTCTTACCCAATACCTGTATTACCCAATACCTGTATTACCCAATACCTGTATTACCCAATACCTGTCTTACCCAATACCTGTATTACCCAATACCTGTCTTACCCAATACCTGTATTACCCAATACCTGTATTACCCAATACCTGTATTACCCAATACCTGTATTACCCAATACCTGTATTACCCAATACCTGTATTACCTAGCTACAGAAATATTTCCTTACCAAATGTTGGCCAATTTTCTAAAGACTCGTTCCACTTCAATTCATTGTTTGCTGGGGACCAACTTAGATATTTTTACCTACCTATTTATATCTCCCTTGTTTTAATCCTCACGTCTATTTCTGCACTTCAGTCATGTCTATCCTTGGGCGAATCTCTCTTTAGAGGTTTGATATGGAGTTTCCTTTCTTCGTGGGGGGGGGGAGGTTTCTAATTGTCTTGAGGAGGTGGTGCTGAGATTGAGGGATCTCCGGTCTCTGACCAGGAGGGACCAGGCCTCCTGGTTAGTGGTTTGGTCAACCAGGCTGTTTGGTGCGGCTGCCGGCATTCTGGTGTATGAATTGTCAGCCGGGTGATCAGGTGTTCTTGGGAGGTGTTTATTATGGTCAATATCTGCAACAGGTGGCGTCAACATCTGCAACATCTAGAGAACGGCTCCCCCCCAAAAAAAAAAAAAAAAAAAAAAAAAATCTTTCATATTAGCGACCTTCATTCATTCATTCCTTCTAATTATCCAATGCCCAATGCCCCTCTTCACACACCCCTCTACCATGGGCACCTCATCATCATCTTCTAATCCATCTCCCAATCCCCCCAATCCCCCCCCCCACTCCCCACTTCACCCAATCACCCACATCCGATTATTTTGAGCGTCTGACAGTCTAAATCCTTGGTCGAAATTTTATCTCGTAATCCCAAATTGTTTCCAAGATTAACAGTGAGAGGTGATGCTTGTGCACACGCGCTCTCTCGCGCGCGAGCGAGCGCATATATGCATTTGTGTACTAACTGGTTAAGTATTTTGTAGTGCAATAGATGTTGGGGGGGGCTCTCTTTAAGAGGTTAGACAAGGAGGAGGAGGAAGAGTGCCTCTTCCTCGAGCACTCTGGCGGCCTATAGGCAGCCAGAGTGCGGCCTATAGGCTGGCCATCTGGCTATAGGCGGCCTATAGGCTGGTTCTATATAGGCTGGCTATAGACGGCCTATAGACTTGCCATCCACCAGCCTAGTGGCCTGTAGGCCATCCACCAGCCTAGTGGCCTGTAGGCCATCCACCAGCCTAGTGGCCTGTAGGCCATCCACCAGCCTAGTGGCCTGTAGGCCATCCTCCAGCCTAGTGGCCTGTAGGCCATCCACCAGCCTAGTGGCCTGTAGGCCATCCACCAGCCTAGTGGCCTGTAGGCCATCCACCAGCCTAGTGGCCTGTAGGCCATCCACCAGCCTAGTGGCCTGTAGGCCATCCACCAGCCTAGTGGCCTGTAGGCCATCCACCAGCCTAGTGGCCTGTAGGCCATCCTCCAGCCTAGTGGCCTGTAGGCCATCCACCAGCCTAGTGGCCTGTAGGCCATCCACCAGCCCACATCACCAGCAACCACCAGCAACCACTATAGGCCAGCTATAGGTTGTACCATCAACTCTTCAGAGTTGATGGTACGAGATATTAAACTTTCAATCAGATATCCTGCAAAGTTCTGTCATTCCCTCCCCTCCTAGTTGGCTTCCCCTATCCTTCCCCTGCTTGTTTCCCCTCTTTATCTCCCTCTCATCCCCTCTGCCTTCCCCCTAGTAACCCCCTTTTCCCCCCCTCCCCTCCTGGTTGGCCCCTCGATGTCCTGTCGGATAAAAAGGGTAAAAAGTAATGGACTTTCGTGCGCTGTCAGGAATTAATCTGAAAAAAATGATGAGGTAAAAGTGGCAAAAAAAGAGTAAAACAGTAGCAGTTGCCAAGCTGGCAGTCGTGGTAGTAGGAGAGACAGCAGTAACGGAACTAACGGAGCAGCAACAGTAGCAGCAGTAACGGAACTAACGCAGCAGCAACAGTAGCAGCAGTAACGGAACTAACGGAGCAGCAACAGTAGCAGCAGTAACAGAACTAACGGAGCAGCAGCAGTAACGGAACTAACGCAGCAGCAACAGTAGCAGCAGTAACGGAACTAACGCAGCAGCAACAGTAGCATCAGTAACAGAACTAACGGAGCAGCAACAGTAGCAGCAGTAACAGAACTAACGCAGCAGCAACAGTAGCAGCAGTAACGGAACTAACGCAGCAGTAACGGAACTAACGGAGCAGCAACAGTAGCAGCAGTAACGGAACTAACGCAGCAGCAACAGTAGCAGCAGTAACGGAACTAACGCAGCAGTAACGGAACTAACGGAGCAGCAACAGTAGCAGCAGTAACGGAACTAACGCAGCAGTAACGGAACTAACGGAGCAGCAACAGTAGCAGCAGTAACAGAACTAACGGAGCAGCAACAGTAGCAGCAGTAACGGAACTAACGCAGCAGCAACAGTAGCAGCAGTAACAGAACTAACGGAGCAGCAACAGTAGCAGCAGTAACAGAACTAACGCAGCAGCAACAGTAGCAGCAGTAACAGAACTAACGCAGCAGCAACAGTAGCAGCAGTAACGGAACTAACGGAGCAGCAACAGTAGCAGCAGTAACAACTAACGGAGCAGCAACAGTAGCAGCAGTAACGGAACTAACGGAGCAGCAACAGTAGCAGCAGTAACAGAACTAACGCAGCAGCAACAGTAGCAGCAGTAACGGAACTAACGGAGCAGCAACAGTAGCAGCAGTAACAGAACTAACGGAGCAGTAACGGAACTAACGCAGCAGCAACAGTAGCAGCAGTAACGGAACTAACGCAGCAGCAACAGTAGCAGCAGTAACGGAACTAACGCAGCAGCAACAGTAGCAGCAGTAACAGAACTAACGGAGCAGCAACAGTAGCAGCAGTAACAGAACTAACGCAGCAGCAACAGTAGCAGCAGTAACAGAACTAACGCAGCAGCAACAGTAGCAGCAGTAACGGAACTAACGGAGCAGTAACAGAACTAACGGAGCAGCAACAGTAGCAGCAGTAACGGAACTAACGGAGCAGCAACAGTAGCAGCAGTAACAGAACTAACGGAGCAGCAACAGTAGCAGCAGTAACGGAACTAACGCAGCAGCAACAGTAGCAGCAGTAACAGAACTAACGGAGCAGCAACAGTAGCAGCAGTAACGGAACTAACGCAGCAGCAACAGTAGCAGCAGTAACGGAACTAACGCAGCAGCAACAGTAGCAGCAGTAACGGAACTAACGCAGCAGCAACAGTAGCAGCAGTAACGGAACTAACGCAGCAGCAACAGTAGCAGCAGTAACGGAACTAACGGAGCAGCAACAGTAGCAGCAGTAACGGAACTAACGCAGCAGCAACAGTAGCAGCAGTAACGGAACTAACGCAGCAGCAACAGCAGCAGCAGTAACAGAACTAACGCAGCAGCAACAGTAGCAGAAGTAACGGAACTAACGCAGCAGCAACAGTAGCAGCAGTAACAGAACTAACGCAGCAGCAACAGTAGCAGCAACGGTCAAAGGGGCTCGCCAGGTCCCCTTGGGCCGAGACGCAACAGAAACCAAAACAGAAGAGGATGAAGTATTTTCACCCCGGACGACCTTAATAGTTAACAAGACCAACGGTGTCTCGAGAAATTACCTCCTGGACTTGGGAGGTAAGTCCTCCTGGACTTTTGTTCATTACCTCCTGGACTTGGGAGGTAAGTCCTCCTGAACTTTTGTTCATTACCTCCTGGACTTGGGAGGTAAGTCCTCCTGGACTTTTGTTCATTACCTCCTGGACTTGGGAGGTAAGTCCTCCTGGACTTTTGTTCATTACCTCCTGGACTTGGGAGGTAAGTCCTCCTGGACTTTTGTTCATTACCTCCTGGACTTGGGAGGTAAGTCCTCCTGAACTTTTGTTCATTACCTCCTGGACTTGGGAGGTAAGTCCTCCTGGACTTTTGTTCATTACCTCCTGGACTTGGGAGGTAAGTCCTCCTGGACTTGGAGGGGGGGGGGACGGCGGGGGAGGAACCACTTGAGGGCGAGGACGGCGGGGGAGGACGCACTTGTGGGCGTGGACGGCGGGGGAGGACGCACTTGAGGGCGTAGACGGCAGGGGGAGGACACACTTGAGGGCGTGGACGGCAGGGGAGGAAGCACTTGAGGGCGTTGACGGCGGGGGAGGAAACACTTGAGGCCGTGGACGCCGTGGAGGACACACTTGAGGCCGTGGACGCCGGTGGAGGACACACTTGAGGCCGTGGACGCCTGTGGAGGACACACTTGAGGCCGTGGACGCCTGTGGAGGACACACTTGAGGCCGTGGACGGCAGCTGAGGACACACTTGAGGCCGTGGACGCCGGTGGAGGACACACTTGAGGCCGTGGACGCCTGTGGAGGACACACTTGAGGCCGTGGACGCCGGTGGAGGACACACTTGAGGCCGTGGACGCCGGTGGAGGACACACTTGAGGCCGTGGACGCCTGTGGAGGACACACTTGAGGCCGTGGACGCCGGTGGAGGACACACTTGAGGCCGTGGACGCCGGTGGAGGACACACTTGAGGCCGTGGACGCCTGTGGAGGACACACTTGAGGCCGTGGACGCCGGTGGAGGACACACTTGAGGCCGTGGACGGCAGCTGAGGACACACTTGAGGGCGTGGACGCCGGTGGAGGACACACTTGAGGCCGTGGACGCCTGTGGAGGACACACTTGAGGCCGTGGACGCCTGTGGAGGACACACTTGAGGCCGTGGACGGCAGCTGAGGACACACTTGAGGCCGTGGACGCCTGTGGAGGACACACTTGAGGCCGTGGACGGCGGGGGAGGACGCACTTGAGGGCGTGGACGCCGGTGGAGGACACACTTGAGGCCGTGGACGCCTGTGGAGGACACACTTGAGGCCGTGGACGGCAGCTGAGGACACACTTGAGGCCGTGGACGGCGGGGGAGGACGCACTTGAGGGCGTGGACGCCGGCGGAGGACACCCTCGCAAGTCACACTTCCCAGCCTGCTACACACACAGGGATGATAAAAGCCACACAAAAAGGAGATGGGAGCAAGAATATTATAGTGACGAAGTGTAATAGACACAACCTCCCCATTACTCCCCCTTCACCACCCATTTATGAATTAATTTACTAAAAAAATTGCTCCCAGGAAAAGGGGATTCTTTCTCTGCCTAGAACCCCCCCCCCCCCCAGCGTCGGCCTGGGGGGGGGAGGGGGTTGTCTAGTTCCCCTTAACACAGCTTAGCTCTGATACTAGTCTAGTGGGCGGGAGAGAGCTAGCTTAGCTTAGCTGCCAACACACACACATCGTGTCAGCAAGGCGGACAGCTCGCCTGGTGTCAGCAAGATGGACAGCCCGCCTGGTGTCAGCAAGATGGACAGTCCGCCTGGTCCCACAACAGAGAGAGAGACAGACAAAATAGAGACAGAGGGACAGACATACGACAGACAGACAATAACAGGCTGAGACGCGGGAAAACGAAAACTCTGACACAATTATAATTTCAAAAGCCAATACAAAAAAATACCAAAATAAACAAAATACCTCACAGGCTACAGAAGATCTCCCACGACCCAGTCTTAACGAAATCGTAAGACCATCGTCCAGGAGGAATTACGACGTCGCTAACTCGCTTACACTTACGTGCTCAACTGATGCTCCTGGCTCCCTCCACCCCCTCTTGCTCCCCCTCTCCTATACCTCCAGATTCTCTACCCTTCTATCCCATCTCCTTCCCTACCTCTCACTCTATCCCATCCGCAACCTTCCATGCTATCCCAGCTCCACCTGTTCCGCTTCTCCAGACTGTCCACATCCATCCCTGCGCCTCCAGGTGTAGTGGAGGTGCGTCCCAAGTCTCCTCACCTCACTGGAGGTGTTATAGACACCAGACACCCACCCAGCCTGCCTTGTTCCAAGTGGCTTCGTCAGACACACAATCCCAGAGATATTCGCCAGTGGGTTGACGCTAGGCTTAGTTGCAGGGACTGCTGGGATTGAGAGAGAGATGGATAGGTTTCGGGATTAGGAGGGATGACGGGGATGGTTGGCCAGATGGAGGCTATGGCCTAATGGAGTGCCAGCCCGAAGCAATAGATGGGTCTGGTTTGGGTTCGAGGCGAAGAGAGAGAGAGACAGACAGAAACAGACAGTTCTAAACCGTCAGAACAAGATGGCCCTGGGATACCTGTCATCGGCTACTAGCGGACAGTAGACAGGAGCGCCTTTAAGGTGACAGCCAGTGGCCGTCAGGGCCTCGGGTTCCCTCCTTCAGCACCCACTAAAACTCCTCCAGGGGACGTCGAATTGGCTCATCAGGCGCCGGGGACTCAGGAGAATGTGCGGGTCCGTCCCCTTGAGCACAAGTTGATCTCTCCCTCGAGAAAGGATTAAGATTTCCTCTTATAAACTGTTTATAATTTAAGGGAACTGTCTAGGGGCTTAGGGAATGGCGCTCAATGTTCCTACAAGAACTAGTTCTTAGTTCTAGACTAAGAAGTACTTGAAGCATCTGGTTACTACTGGATGCTGGCATCTCCAGCAGCAATAGGAAAATATTCTTATGGTCCAGCCACTTGGGCAATAGTTTCGCCTCTTGCAGAGTCCCCAATCGGTGCTCGATGGACTAAAGTGGTTGGGCATTGTTCCTTCAACCTCCCTCCTATCCTCATATTCCAGCTCCTTGGACTCATGTCCCGACTTCTCGTCCTTATATCTCAGCTCCATGTCCTCATATCCCAGCTCCTTGTCCTCATATCCCAGCTCCTTGTCCTCATATCCCAGCTCCTTGTCCTCATATCCCGGCTTCTCGTCCTTATATCTCAGCTCCATGTCCTCATATCCCAGCTCCTTGTCCTCATATCCCGGCTTCTCGTCCTTATATCTCAGCTCCATGTCCTCATATCCCAGCTCCTTGTCCTCATATCCCAGCTCCTTGTCCTCATATCCCAGCTCCTTGTCCTCATATCCCAGCTCCTTGTCCTCATATCCCAGCTCCTTGTCCTCATATCCCAGCTGCTTGACCTGATATCCCATCCAAGTGCTATATAGGGATAATCGTTTGGTTCTTGCCTACTTCTGACGATATCAGAAAAATTCATTTTTAGTTATAGAATTGCTATGAGCTTAGTTTATGCATATAGTAAGATGCCGAGTCGTGGGTGGGGGTATTGGGAGGAGGTGCCTGTAGGAGGTGCCAAGGAGAGTGCCTGTCGGGGATGCCAGTAAGACGTGTTGTATGAAGTGCCTAATTAACCAGCTGGAGTACTGAATGGGAGTACTGGATGCAAGCTTCTCAAATGGGAGCAGCCCTGGGACCAGATTAGTTTAATGTGTGTGTACTCATCTAGTTGTGCTTGCGGGGGTTGAGCTCTGGCTCTTTGGTCCCGCCTCTCAACTGTCAATCAACTGGTGTACAGGTTCCTGAGGCTATTGGGCTCTATCATATCTACACTTGAAACGTTGTGTGTGTGTGTGTGTGTGTGTGTGTGTGTATGTGTGTGTGTGTGTGTGTGTGTGTGTGTGTGTGTGTGTGTGTGTGTGTGTGTGTGTGTGTGTGTGGAGTACATTTTTATCAACTATCAGAAGGCCTTTGACACTGTCCACCACAAAGATATGATGGAGATACATGTTGGCAACACCGGAAATCCTTTAGGTACAAAACTGCCAGATTCGAAAAACCAACCCAGAGAAATTATGAGAGAGAGAAGAGTCAATAATGTCTATACTCATCATATCTATGATGATCCTGATCAACATAATATCCTGCTGGAAGAGATGAGTTCCTACCAACCAATCATCGCAGATGATATAAAGCCAATGATAAGAACGACTATAGTCTACTTCAGGACGTAAACAATCTACTCCAAGAACCAAACAGGTTACAGACGGACCAGAGGAGACATGACCACAACATACAACATACTTATGAGGGAGTTATCAGGGGAAAGCGAGAATTCATTGCGACTATATAGCACTGCGAAGGGGTCAGGATAAGGATTTGGGATGGGACGGAGGGAAAGGAATATTGCCCAACCACTTGCAGATGTAAATGAAACTGAGACAAACATTGTATACGGCGGCTGGGACACAAATGGAACAGGTCTGAGAGAGTTAACTAGAACGTCAAAAGATCTAAAACCCCAATAGGTCCCAATAGCTAGTGGGGCGGGGCCCAAGAACCGGAGCTCATCACACGTAGGAACTACTAGCTGGCCCTGTTACCTAGCAGTAAAATAGGTACCTGGGTGTTAGTCAGCTGTCACGGGCTGCTTCCTGGGGGGTGGAGGCCTGGTCGAGGACCGGGCCGCGGGGACACTAAAGCCCCGAAATCATCTCAAGATAACATCAAGATACGCAAGCGCGCACCCTTTTCCAGTAGCGCTCCTCATCTGAAGTTTAACTTTCGCTGTTAAATACAACATCAGGTCAGAGGTAAGCAAGAGGTGACGGCAGGTCTTGTAGGAGCAGCAGGCGTCGAGCTCAGAAGTTAATGAAGAAAACTAGGTGTTAATGTGGAGAAGTTGTGAAGATTTGGGAGGTTTCTTGTGGCGGGCGGGGAGGGTCGGTTCCCACACACACACACACACACACACACACACACACACACACACACACACACACACACACACACACACACACAGATATTAGAAAGAACTTTTTTAGTGTCAGAGTGGTTGACAAATGGAATGCATTAGGGGGTGATGTGGTGGAGGCTGACTCCATACACAGTTTCAAGTGTAGATATGACAGAGCCCGATAGGCTCAGGAATCTGTACACCTGTTGATTGACGGTTGAGAGGCGGGACCAAAGAGCCAGAGCTCAACCCCCGCAAACACAACTAGGTGAGTACAACTAGGTGAGTACACACACACACACACACACACACACACACACACACACACACACACACACACACACACACACACACACACACACACACACACACACTCACTCACACACACACACACACACTCTCCTCACCTGTTGATTGACGGTTGAGAGGCGGGACCAAAGAGCCAGAGCTGAACCCCCGCAAGCACAACTAGCTGTGTTGCAGGGGATCATGTCCCCCCCTAAATCTCCTGTCTTCCAGCGGCGTGAGGTTTAATTCCCGTAGTCTCTCCTCATAGCTCATGCCCCTCAGTTCGGGCACTAGTCTGATGGTGTGTACTCACCTAGTTGTGCTTGCTGGGGTTGAGCTCTGGCTCTTTGGTCCCGCCTCTCAACCGTCAATCAACTGGTGTACAGATTCCTGAGCCTATTGGGCTCTATCATATCTACACTTGAAACTTTGTATGGAGTCTGCCGTGTGTGTGTGTGTGTGTGTGTGTGTGTGTGTGTGTGTGTGTGTGTACTCACCTATTTGTGCTTGCGGGGGTTGAGCTTTGGCTCTTTGGTCCCGCCTCTCAACTGTCAATCAACTGGTGTACAGATTCCTTAGCCTGTGTGTGTGTGTGTGTGTGTTAGAGAGAAATATGTGTAGTAGACATAGAGGACAAATAAATTGGTTAGAAAGGCGGGGTCCAAGAGCTAATAGCCCGATTCTGCAGCTACGAATCGTAAATACAAATACTAAATACACACGATATACAAAGAAATATTGAGTGGAGAAAGAGGAGGAAGATGGGGAGAGGGGAGATAGATAAAGAGGGGTAGGAGTGAAGGAAAGAGGGGGGGGGGGGGTGAGGGGATTGGAGGAAGAAGGAGGGGGAAGCAGAGGGGGGTTGAGGCAATAACCAAATTACCAAGTGAAAATAACTACCTTGAAACTACGAATCACCAATTTGTCAATAATAGAAGCTCAGCCATGCAGCTTCCGTCGCATTTTGCTGCTCTTGTGAGAGGTTGGGAGAGAGGAGATGAAGAAGGCAGTAGAAATGGGAAGTGGAAGAGAGAGACGGGGGAGGAGAGAGAGAGAAAGGGAAGTGAGGCAAAGGAAAAGAGTGAGGAGAGAAGAGAGACAGAGACAAGCGTGAGGAGACAGGTTTAGTTATATGGATATTTGGCAGAACATCCTCTATTCTCTCTACGACGCCCTGGGGCCAGATTCACGAAGCATTTACGAACCTGGGGCCAGATTCACGAAGCAGTTACGCAAGTACTTACGAACGTGTACGTCTTTCCTCAATCTTTGACGGCTTTGGTTACATTTATTAAACAGTTTACAAGCATGAAAACTTGCCAATCAACTGTTGTTATTGTTACAAACAGCCTCCTGGTGCTTCGGAGCTCATTAACTGTTTAATAATTGTAAACAAAGCCACCAAAGATTGAGAAAAGATGGACAGGTTCGTAAGTGCTTGCGTAACTACTTCGTGAATCTGGCCCCAGGACTAGGAACATATTATTTCGCACTTAATTGAGTTCAGGATAAGGCCTAAAATAGCACCTTGCTCCTGGATTTTTGTGATGTCCTCCTGGAGGGAGTCTAGGGAACCAGCGAGGACCGGGCCGCGGGGACGGTAAGCCCCGAAATCATCTCAGGATCTTTCAAGGGAACCATCATCCAAGAACCAGTTGTTAAACTCGCTGGACAGGAGCTCTGTGACTTGTTTGATGACTAGCCGACCCCTCACAGTCTTCAAAAGAGAACTGAATAAGCACCTCCAAAGGATACCTGATCAACTAGCCTGTGATTCGTACGTCAGGCTGAGAGCAGCCGCGTCCAACATCCTGGTTGGCCGGTCCAGCAACCAGGAGGCCTGGTCGACGACCGGGTCGCGGGGTCGCTAAGCCCCGGAAGCACCTCAAGGTAACCTCAAGGTAACGAAGCAGAAAAGGAGAGGAACAAGCGGGTCTCCCTGTTGGACGCCTTCC